AGGGGTTCTTGAGCATGAGGTTGATTGCTTGCCTGCCATTAGCCTGTGACCTGGAGTGTTTCTTTTCTGTCCCTTGTCCAGCTCTCCCGCGTGGAGTTGTAGGGGAGCTTACGGCGTTCCCTGCCCCGGAGACCCGGTGCTTCTGTGGCTCAGGGTCCGCGTGCGCCCCTATCCGGGCCGGGCTTCTCGCAGTGGATTCAGACACTAACAGTAGCGTGTGCTGGCTGCATTTCTTTTCTGTGGCCGTTAAGTCAGAATGACTTCCTACTGTTTCACAGAGTTATCCATTGCATGGTGTATGCTTTGCTTGCAAAAACGCAGTTGGAGATATTGAGAAATGTGCAGAACAAAATAAATCCCCCTCAACCACTTAGTTAATACCACCAGCCCCTGACGCCCCAAACAAAGCTCCATGTTGCCCAGGCTGGCCTGGAACTCAATGTAGTTGAGGATGACTCTACTCCTGATCTTCCTGCCCCCACCTCCCAAGTGCTAGGATTACAAGCGAGGACCATCACTCGTGACCAGTTAAAACATTTATTATAAACGTATAAGATTGAATTGTCTTTAGTTCCATCAGATGAGAAACTAGTGAACACGGAAGTGGAGAAAAATCTTAAACGATGTCACAAAAAAGAAAAAAAGATCCTCTTGCTTTAATGTGGATCTCTGAGTTCGACGCCGTTCTGGTCTGCAGAGCGAGTCCCAAAACAACTAGGGCTATACAGAGAAACCCTGTCTCAAACAAGCAAAAAACAAAGGAGAAAATTACAAATACCAGAAAGATCAGACATTTGGAATAATTTTAATTAGAATGAAGTGGTGCTAGAGATAGACACCATGGCTAGGCAAATGCCTATTAGAGATCTGCCTGTCTTTGCCTCTCAAATGCCGGGATGGGCTCCACTACACCTGGCAAGCTACCATTTTTTATTTTAACTAATTTATTTTTTTGGAGACAAGGTCTCATGTAGCCTGGACTGGTGGCAAGCTTACCAACTCTCAGTTGCTGAGATTATAGATATGTGGTTACAATGCCAGGGAACTACAGTTTCTTCTGCACAAGCCAGGGCCTCTGTGCAGCAGTTTCTACCTGGTGCAGGTGGATTACTGTGAACTCAAGGCCATCCTGACCTACATAGCAATTTGAGGCATGATTGGACTATCTAGTGAGACCCTGTCTCAAAACAAGCAAAAAACAAACCCCCCATCACCAATAATCAAAATCAAACAAAAAAATTTCAAATGATAGAGATGATTATTAATTCTAAAACTACTCTTTGTTGTATTTGTTTTTGATACAAGGTTTCTCTGTATCCCTGGCTATCCTGGAACTTGCTCTGTAGAGATCCTCTTGCTTCTGCCTCCCTAGTGCTGGGATTAAAGGCATGCTCAACTACCATGAAGTGTAAACACTTTTTTTAAAGACAATTCTTTGTGATAACGTGGTTTATATGCAAGTCTCTGTGACTGTACAAGCTTGGAAATTAACACTCAAAGGAGAACATTCCAATTTAAATTTTCTAAATTTTCCTTTTAGGGAGGTGGAGATGGCTTCCAGTCTCAGAGTACTCATCCCTGCCTCCGGTCCTAAATAATATCTGCTCTAGGAGAAAATCTACTGCACCTGAGAAAATTGTTGCCAGTGTTTGTGATACAAAAGGAAGGACGCCTGAGAAGGCACTGGACAAGCTCTTCTCCCCGGAACAGCAGGCCTCTATCTTGCACGTGTTGAATACAGCTTCTGATAAGGAACTGGAAGCTTTCAGACTGCTCCGTGGAAGGAAGTCCGTCAATATTGTAGAGCACAGAAAGAAGTTTGGGCCATTTCAAAGTTTGGAGAGTTTGACAGACGTGTCCTTGATCCAATATAAAACTGCTGTTCAAGTGTGTAACTCCATTCTTTGTCCAGAGAGTGGAAGGAAAAAAAAGTCACAGGAGAAGTGGCTCCTGAGTGAGTTCATCAAACCAGGTGTAGAGAGAGAGAGAATTAAGGTACAGCTCCCCCACTACCTACCCTTTGAGAACGTATGCTAGAAAGCACCATTCCCAGTAGTGGGTTAGAGACGATTTTCTCTCTCTCTCTCTCTCTCTCTCTCTCTGTGTGTGTGTGTGTGTGTGTGTGTGTGTGTGTGTGTGTGTGTGTGTGTGTAGGTCAGAGGACAACTTTCAAGAGTCCGTTCTTTCCTTCTGTCACATGGGTCCTTGTCAGGCTTGTTGTGAGGGCTTTAACCCTCTGAGCCATCTCACTGGATCAAAACAAAAACCTTTAAGTTTGCCGGTGTTGGTGGCGCACGCCTTTAATCCCAGCACTCTGGAGGCAGAGACAGGAAGATCTCGGTGAGTTTGAGGCCAGCCTGTTCTCCAGAGCGAGTGCCAGGATAGGCTCCAAAGCTACACAGAGAAATCCTGTCTCGAAAAACAAAAAACAAATAAACAAACAAAAAAACTCTTATCTATCGAACAAAATGAAAGGTATAGACAGTTGGCAGGTTGGAGGGAATGCTGTGAGGTAGAACTTGGGAAAAGTTTACTGAGAACTCAGTTTATTTGGAAGAGAGGAAACTAGGATGGCAGGAAGAAGAGGGCATTCTGGATAGAAAACATGAATAACAGGAAGTATGTCTACACAAGGTTTAAAAAATTACCTTATTATTTTTGTTATTGCTTTTGTGTGAGTGGGTATGATATATATGTAGGGTGCTCATGCCATGGGGCATGTTTGGGTCCCAGAGAGAGAACTCAGATTATCAACCTTGGTGGCAAGTGCCTTTTTTTTTTTTTTAAGATTTTATTTATTTATTATGTATACAGCATTCTGCTTCCATGTATATCTACACACCAGAAGAGGGCACCAGATCTCATAATGGATGGTTGTGAGTCACCATGTGGTGCTGGGAATTGAACTCAGGACCTCTGGAAGAGCAGCCGGTGCTCTTAACCTCTGAGCCATCTCTCCAGCCCCCCTGATGACCTCTTACTGGCCCATATTTTTTATTTATTTATTTATTTTTTTTTTTTTCAAGACAGCTCTGGCTGTCCTAGAACTCTAGAACTAGCTTTGTAGACCAGGCTGGCCTCAAACTCAGGGGTCTATCTGCCTCTGTCTCCTGAGTGCTGGGATTGAAGATATGTGCCACCACTGCCGGGCTTTTATTACATTGTTTTGAGAGAGGGTCTTATTCTGTTGTTCAGGCTGGTTTAGAACTCTGGGCTGGCCTCAAATTTTTGAAGATCAGTGCAGTCGTGTGCACTGGCTCCCTGGTGCAGAGGTGAACAGGTGTGCGTGTCATGCAGGGTTTAATTAGGAAGATTGTTAGGCAGGTGTGCGGCAATGTCAGGAGGGTACATTAGGAAATTAAGCTGCAAAGATGAGTTGGCGAAGAAGTGACTCTAGAACATTATGTCGGTCTTTCTAGCACAATTTAAAATTATGTTCTGAGTCCAGTGTAGTTGTACACACCTTTACACACATGCAGCCTCACAGTACTGATGTACCTATACCACACACCAGAACAATTTTAAGAATCAATTAAAAAATAAAAATCTGGGGGACTGGAGAGATGGCTTAGAGGTTAAGAGCACTCACTGGCTGCTCTTCCAGAGGTCCAGAGTTCAATCCCCAGCAACCACATGGTGGCTCACAACCATCTGTTATGAGATCTGGTTCCCTCTTTTGCTGTGCAGATATACATGGAAGCAGAATGTTGTATACATAATAAATAAATAAAATTAAAAAGAAATAAATAAAATAAAAATCTGTTGTCCAGAGAAGGGTTGTGTGCAGGTTGTATAGTAACATCCATGCATAGTAAACCAGGTTTTTATTTTGAAGATGCTGCTCTGCCTTTTTCATTACATTAATTTACTTTTGTTTATTTTTGGTGTTTATTTTTGATGTGTATGGATGTGTGGGAGGTCAGAGGATAATCTGAATGAGTTTTTTCCTTTCACCATGTGGGTCTCAGGGATTGAACTCAGGTCATTGGTTTAGTAGAAAGCAGCTTTTCCGATTAAGTTGTCTCTCCACCCAGTCAAATTTTTACTTACGTGTATATATGTGCAGAGCAGGACTTCAGTTGACATTCCTCCTCTGCTGCTATCTTGTGATTTTCGTTGTTGTTTTTAAGTTTTAACTGCAATTTTATTCGTGTGTCCCTTTCACAGTAGAAGTCAGAGGATAGCTTTTGGGAGTCAACTGACTCTTTCCATTCCCCATGTGGATTATAGGAATCAAACTTAGGTTGTCAGGCTTGGTGGCAATTGTCTTTACCCACCAAGCAATCTTGCTGGCCCAAATCTTGTTATTTATTTATTTATTTATTTGTGCTTTCTGTTGCTGTGCGAAAACACTATGACCATGCTGGGCATTGGTGCTACACACCTTTAATCCCAGCACTCGGGAGGCAGAGGCTGGCAGATCTCTGTGAGTTCGAGGCCAGCCTGGTCTACAGAGCGAGTACCAGGACAGGCTCCAAAGTTTAAAAAAAAAAAAAAAAAAAAAAAAAAAAAACCAAAAAACAAAGAAAAAGAAAGCACTATGAGCAAAAGCAACTTAGGAAAGGATTCCTTTCAATTTTAGAGGTCACAGTCCATCCAGGGATGCTAAGGCACAATGAAGAGCACACACACATACAATAAGACTAGATAGATAGATAGATAGATAGATAGATAGATAGATAGATAGATAGAGGATTTCTCTGTGTAGCCAACCAAAGCTGTCCTAGAACCTGGCCTCCAATTTAGAGAGATTTGCCTGCCTCTGCCTCCAGAGTGCTGGGATTAAAGGTGTGCACCACCACTGCCCAGCGAGATTGCAGGTTTTATAGCTTTAAGATATTTACACTTGTAATCAAATCAGCCTTTTTCCTTTAGGCAGCTAATAGTATCATATCTATTGTTTTTGGTACTCGAAGAATTGCATGGGCCCACCTTGACCGGAAATTTAAGGTGCTCGATTGGCAGCAGGCTGAGTGTTGGAAACTAACGAACAGAATATATCCATCATCTGTCTATCTGCAAGAGGTAAGGCAATGGCTGGTCTCTGCTCCTTGTTTTCTGTCTTGTGAATTCCTACATGGGTCCTTGTACAGTTTAGTTTGGCAGTTTCAAAAGGGATGTAAGAGAAAACAAAACAAAAAACAGTGAAGCTGGTCTGGAAGGTGACTTTTTACTCCTATTACAGCTTTATTATATATTGAATTTAAAAAATTTAGAACCTTGTCTTTAAATTCAAGATGTGAAATGGGTAGTAATTGCTGTCTTGGTTGAGTGCAATTACTAGCTCTTAGCAAAGTCTCAGAGGTCCAGTAATAATGCACTCGGTCTAGTGTTATATTAGTTTATTAAACCAACTGTTCCCATCCTCCATAGTAAGAGGCTTTGGCCAGCACTTCGCTACCAGCAGAGATTTCTGGCTAGCGCCAGTCTTCTTCAGAACATTTCAGATGGTCAGATTTTGGATTGCTGAGTCCTGATGTTAATACAGATGTTAGGGATGATGAGACTCCCAGGATAAGAGTTCATCTTAGCTTCTTCCTGAGCTTTTGTTCTTCCATGGTTGTCAGATGTGGGACAAACACAAAATATAATCAATTATTTCTGATTTTTTTTTTTAAGATTTCTTCAGTCATTTCAAAGATGCCTCAAGCAGATCTCTACATTTTGGAAAAATCAGGACCTTCCATTCACAACACATCTCTGTTTCCTATACTGTTACACTTTCTTATCATAGAAGCCATGCTGTATGCCTTACTCAACAAAACTTTTGCCGAGGATGGCCAGCATCGGGTGCTGAGCATGAATCGAAATGCAGTGGGCAAGCACTTCAACCTGATGATCGGCGACACAAGGACTAGTGGGAGAGAGCTAGTGAAACAGTTACTCTCTGACTCTGTGCTGAAGGAGGAGCCTCGAGTGTTCTTCCCATTGGATCGAGTAGTGCAGTACAGACAGAAGATTCTGAAGGACTCACACCACATTGAAGAGTTATATGATTCACTATTACAAGCTGTTGCCTTTTATGAGTTAGCTCTTGGCAAAGGCTCAGAGGCCCAGGAATAATGCACTCGCTCTAGTGTTATATTAATTTATTAAACCAACTGTTCCCGTCCTCCATGTTAGTGGAGAAGAAAACATTTTGAGTATATTTTCTATGTTTATGAAATGAGAATCTTGGCTGTGAAATAGTGTATATGAGCCAAGACAAAATCAATAAATATTTTGTGAAATTCCATGCCTTATTGGTTTAAGTGCTAAACAGTAAGAGGCCACCCATACAGCCAAAAGTTACCTCCGTGTAGAGAGACGTCTTGGCCATTCCAGAGGACCCCAGTTTGGCTCCTGTCCACCACTGCAGGTGCTCACAATTGTCTTTAAGTTCAGTACCAGAGACTCTGATTTTCTTTCTTTGTTGGCCTCTTTAGGACCCTGCGTGCTGCGTGCGCAGGAATACACACACACACACAGAAAAAATAAAAAAGCAAGTGTTTAAAAAATAAATTTAGGCCAGGTGATGGTGGCACATGCCTTTAATCCCTCTTGGGAGGCAGAGAAGAGTTCCAGGCCAGTTTGGTCTACAGAGTGACTTCCAGGACAGCCAAAAACCCTGTCCTGGAAAATAAATAAATACATAAATAAACAAATAAATTTAAAAATTAATAAGAGGAAAAATAAGCTGAGCAGATGGTTCTGAGGTCAGTTTGGGACTACAGTGAAATTCTGTTCCAAACTGCCCCCATAGTCCAAAAAAATCAAAGGGAAAAACAACACATAAGGACAGGTTGGAGTTATAGCTTGGTAGTAAACTGCTTGCCTAGGCTTGATACCTAGTAATGGGGAAAAAATGTTCTATCAAGCAAGAAACTCCACACAACCATGTCCTAGTTAAGGAGTGAGTTTGCATAACTTGAACAGATTTGGTTTTAAGATTTGTTTATGTATTTGAATACTCTGTATATATGCCTACACACCAGGAGAGGGTATCAGACCCCATCATAAATGATTGTGAGCCACCATATGGTTGCTGGGACTTGAACCCAGGACTTCTGGAATAGCAATGGGTACTCTTAATCATTGAGCCATCTTCCCAGCCCCCAACTTGAACAGTTTTATGTAATTATATTGGTTCATCAGTTGTTGAGATGGTCAGAGTCCGTAATAATAAAACACTCAACTAGCAGCTAAGCACCTCCAGTAGACACTGTAGGAAAACAGATACGCATACTTAAAGGCTTCAGGATTTGGAGATGGTTCAGCAGTGAAGAGCACTTGCTGCCCTTGAAGGGGTCCCAGGTACAGTTCCCAGGCCCCCACATGATAGGCAGCTTACAACCATCATCCCTAACTCCAGTTCCAGGGTATCCAATGGCCTCTTCTGGCCATGAGCATTGCAAGCATGTGGTGCACATGCATACATGCAGGCAAAACATTGATACATATAAAAAACAAATCTTTAAAAAGCTTTGACCACATTCTTTTTGTTCAGCAAAGAAATCTATAAGTTGTAGCATTTATCTGAATGTATTCAATATACATGTACATTAAGACGATCATAACTATTTAAATACCACTTAAAGCCTTTAGCTTTAACTTTTAATTTGCTAATTAATACAAGAAAAGATAGGTTAAACAAGAGATAAAAACACCACATCTTCACACACATTTGTGAACAGGTATGCACCTACACTTTAAGAAAGTATAAAACTAGGATCCTTTTGAATTAAAAATACAATTCATCAGAAAATGTACCTGAATATTGTATTATTATACAAATATATTTAGTATGAAGCAATTTTAAACATACCTGATTATCTGACTGTAAAATAATATTAAGTAAAATGTGACATTTTAAAATCTTACTACTAAAGTAAAAATAGGTACTTAAAAAAAAAAAGAAAAAGAAAAACCCATGACCTTCCTGGGTATGGCAGCATATGCCTGTAGTTCCAGGTACTTGAGAAGCTGAGACAGGAGGAAGGAGGCAGCCTAAATATTATAACCAGACCCCATCTCGAAAACAGAGTGGGAGGTTCTAGCTCTGTGGTTAAGTGTGTCCCTCTAATGTACAAGGCCTTGGTTGATCTGTAGCACCACAAATAAGTACAAAAAACAGACTGTGCATGTTCTAAGACAGGATGCTTGCCTACAACACAAAAGACTCTGGGCTTAATCCTCAGCACCACAAAACCAAAAAAACCAAAGTTAAATGGAAATAGCTTCTTAGGTAGAAACCCCATGGTAGAATCCTTCATTATCTCTTCAACCATCAAAAACTTGTCCAAACATTTTTGAAGAAAGCATGATGTAAAAGTACTAGAAAATGTACAGATGATCTGAGTTGGCAAAATGCACAAGACTTTACCTACATGGAGTGATAAGAAAGGTTTATGAAAGCTTAGATTTCAGAACGCTTTACTTTGCCAACACAAATGACTCAATGATTAAATGGTAAAACATGCTGGAGGAGGGCACAAGATATAAGGCAAGAGGAAGCGCAAGCGTTCCAAAACTGATGCATAATTTCCTTCCTAATAGACTTAAAAATTACTCCCTATGTAACTGTTTTATGCTGTATAACTTTAGGGACTGCAGGCTAGGTCCTGGCTATTCATGGTGGCACTGCTCTGATGCTGGAGAGCAGAGGAAGGGTACAAGGAAAGGGAAAACTGCAGATGAGCTCAGCACTGAAACAACTTTAGAAGTCTCTTAGTGAACACTACCTTCTACAAACAGCTCACACGTACAGAAAGCATACCAACAAAGCAAAAATAGGTAATACAAAACATTCAGAAAAAAAAATATGCCACAATCATATATACAGTTTGTAACCCTTTGTTTTTCATTTTAAATACTTGAATCACAAAAATACAAAGTCTATTAAAATTTACATTAAGAGAAATAAGCTCTTCTTTAAAATCGACATAATCAAGTATGTCTTAAGGACCATGTCGTCTGTACAGGACACTGAAGACGGGGAAGCATCAAGGGAAGTCAGCGGCCAAAGCAGTCACAGCCTCTTCAGGAATATCAAGATGAATTCCTTCAAAGTAGTGCAGAAATCTGTCAAAATTACAAAAACCATTTAATGCCAGTATTTTCTTTACCAGGAACATATTTATTAATCTTGACATGTCTTCTTAAAACATTACTTTTTTTTTTTTTTACACACTTTACCTTCTTTTATTTTTTCCTTGTTCTTTTAGCTTCTCTGTCCGACAAATGTTCCGAAGAGTTGGCAGGTAGTCAATTATACTAGCTTGCTTATTACCCACGCTTAAAAGAGATCGACTAGAAAATACTCTTTTAATGACGGCCATCCTCTTGTCAGCATTGCTATAAATTAAGAGTAAGTAAGCATTATTTTTTGGTATTTTGTACATAAAAATATAACAACCCCAAATGTAACCAGTGTTCCTGCTTCTGGTTTAGACCAAATGACCCTTTTAATTTCCTGCCGCCGGCGTCAGTCCCTGTCCTACCTACCTAGACTGGCCTGGACGCCACACGGCTCAGCCTGACTTCAAACTCAGTCTTGCACCACTACATGCAACTTCAGATTGACAATTTTTGTTTAGACAGGGTCTCACGTAGCTGGGGTTTCTTTTTTTTTCTCTTTTTGGTTTTTCGAGGCAGGGTTTCTCTGTATTGTTTTGGAGCCTGTCCTGGAACTCTTTCTGTAGATCAGCTGGCCTCAAACTCACAGAAATCTGCCTGCCTCTGCTTCTGGAGTGCTGGGATTAAAAGCGTGCACCACCACCGCCCAGCTAGCTTCAAACTCTTGATTCTTTCTTGTGCCTCTACCTCCCAAGTGCTGTGATTGCCAACCTGTGCCACCATGTATGCGGTGATAGTGAAATATCCTAATGGCTCACTTTTACCTATCACAACTCTAAACTCCTCTGTAACCCAGGTTCTTTTCTTTTCCCAAGATAGGAGTTTTCTGTGTAGCATTGGCGGTCCTGGAACTCACTCCATAGACCAGGCTGGCCTTGAACTCAGATCTGCCCACCTCTGTCTCCTGAACACTCGGCTTAAAGGCGTGTGCCACCACACTCATTTAGGTTTCCCAAATTTCATTCAAGCTAGTTTTCTTGGTAATCTCTTCAACTTGCATGAGAAGCTACATATTAACACTAAGTGTTTCCCATGATCAATAGCCCAGCATTTTAAAATTAAATTGATTACTGAAAAAAATAGAAGGTAACAAATAAGACTTACTCTAGATTAGCTGCTGACTGGCGGAAGCAAACATCGCTGCACCTTTGTGAAACTTTCTGTAAAGTGAGCTCACTGACTGCATCTTTCCCTAAATGCGAGTGTGAATTCAAGGACCCCAGTGCTTCTGAAATGCTAGAAGAACATTTAGTAAAGCTGAGGGCTTCTGCAGTTGCTTTTAACTCTTCAGAGCTCCGAGGAGCCCACCCATCTCTACTCTCAATACTGAACTCATCACAAAGTCCACTTTTAACCTTTCCACTTGTCCAGTGAAAAGGATTTTTACCCAATTCATTCTGTTCCTCTGTGTCTGTTAAAAGGGTGTCTAAGAAGGACATGTTCTCCATGAACTCAGTAAGAGAATTTAAACAGTGGGAAACAAGCACAGAACACTTCTTCTCTGCCAGAGTCTTGGGAGGGTGAGGCACAGAGTCAGATGTGAAACATTTGTTTTCTGTCTGTGGCTCTGGATTGCCTTTTCTGTCTCTGCTTGTGACATTTTCTAAAGTTGAGGAAGGCACAGGAGATAAGGTTGTCAGTTCATCAGAAAAGTCCAGTCCAGAATCAAATAAGTCACTGTCATCTAGGGTCACCATCTTTTTCTGTTTTCTTTTCTGTGACTTTTTTAATGGCTGGTCTTCTGATTGCTTCCTGGGAAGATGCTCCATGCTTCCTGGTGCACTCGCTTCTGTAGTCACTGGGAAGTTGTAAGCATCTTTTACTTCTGGAATGACAGTAACTGGCAATGGCAGGATGAACTCAAGATTACTATATAATAGATCTATGTTTTGCATGTGCAATTCTGTGAGAAGCTGGATGAATTTATGCCATTCTTCTTTTGTTGTGATCTTGTGCTGAAAAGCAATTTTTAGTAAAGAGATGTTTTAAGAGTACCTAGTTTAGATGTCTTCCCACCCTTAGGAATATGTACTTACTTCTATGGTATCTCTATCTTTTTTTTTTTTTAAGATTTATTTATTTTATGTATATGAGTGCTCTATCTGCAAGTATGCCTGCAAA